TAGCGCGCTCGCCTGGCATGCGTGCGGCCCGGGTTCGATCCTCAGCACCACATACCAACAAAGATGTTGTGTCCACCGAGAACTAAAAAATATTAAAAATTCTCTCTCTCTCTCCCCCCTCTTTCACTCTCTCTTAAAAATAAATAAATAAATAAATAAATAAATAAATATGTTTTTGTTTCTAGGCATTTAAATTTCAACTCAAGGGCTGGGGATGTGGCTCAAGCGGTAGAGCGCTCGCCTGGCATGCGTGCGGCCCGGGTTCGATCCTCAGCACCACATACAAACAACAATGTTGTGTCCGCCAAAAACTGAAAAAATAAATATTAAAATCCCCCTCTCTCTCTCTAAAAAATAAAATAAAATAAAATAAAATTCAACTCAAGAACAAAATGTGGGGCTGGGGATATAGCATAGTGGTAGAGCTCTTGCCCAGCATGCACAGGGCCCTGAGTCCCATCTCCAGCACAATAGAAAAAAAAAGGGGGTGGGGCTAGGGAATATTAGAGCACCCCTGAGTTCAATTCTCAGTACTGAAAAACAACTTAAAAACTGAGTGTGTTAAATGATGTTTAATTCCATCTGACAATGGTTTTTAAGGAGCCAGCTTTAATTAATTCTTTATTTTTATTTCTGGGGTGCTAGGGTGAACTCAGGCCTTCACAGATGCTGAGCACCCACAGCCACGGGAAACCAGCTTTGAAAACCTAGGAAGGTTAACAAAAAACTGATCCTCATTAGATAACTCTTAAGAATATTTTACAGTTTTCTTTTCATAGCAAACAGCATAAAGACAAAGTTACAGGAAAGATTAGCAAAACATTTCTCCAAGCAGCAAAGCCTAGAGGAAATAGTTCTTTGTTGAAATTGGAAAATCTTAAAGTATTTTACCAATATTAAGTCAGTTTCAAAATAGGCTCTTTAAGTTTTATTTTGTGATAAGAGAAATGGATGTAAATGAGACAAATAAGTGCCCCAAGTCCCCAGAAATATTACTGTATTTCATTAATTCTAGTGCCCTCCCCCTCATTTTAGCATTTAAGAAATCCAATATATCTCACAACTAATGGTATGTCATAGTTAACTGGCAACATGGACAGAACGCCCTTATTTTGTTTTTATGTGGTGCTAAGGATCAAACCCAGTGTTTCACACATACTAGGCAAGCACTTTGCCACTGAGCTACACAGCCCCCACTCACATTTTTTTTAGTGGCAAACCAAAACATTGGTCACAACTGTTGAGTTTATCATATTGATTGGATTATATGCTCTGGCTTATTTGATCTCAGGCAGTAACTGCCAAAACTAATTTCCAATCTAATTAAGATCTCCCTGTCATAGCCTAGGGACACTAGGAGGATACCAAAGGGTTGTTAAAGTTGATACTTTAATAATTCAATTCAGGTGAAAAGTGATACACAAAAAAAGCTGACTGGAGTCCACAGGCTCTTTAGCCAACACAAAAACTTTATTCTAGTTCCTGTAACTTCACTTATGTTTGGTTACACACCACAAACTACCAAGTTATAATGTACACCAATTCTGAAAGTGGCTGCATCAACCACTTAAAAAACTAAACTACCCCAAATTTCTATTCTTTTTTGGTTCTGGCGATTGAACCCAGGAGCATTTTACCACTGAACTCCATTTCCTGCCCTTTTTATTTTGAGACAGAGTCTGAGAGTGGCCTCAAACTAGTTAGTCCTCCTGCCTCAGTCTCTTGAGCCTCTGGGATTATAGGCATGAGCTGGGATTACAGAGGTGCACAATCTTAACTAATTTTTAAAAGTTTACAAACTCAACTCAGGTCATTTGGTAACAATTTAGAATTTACTCTCCCTCAATATCCTCATAGCCATGAGTCACAAACCTCAGAAACAAAAATGAATAACTGGCAATTGGTGAATACTCCAATTTGTGTTACCAGAAATAAAAAATTTTGAAAAACAAATTGAATGGAGTTCTGAGCAAAGTGTTAAGGGCCAGAGTAGGTGATTTCATCTTCATAATAACTAAGCCAAGTTGAAAATTGATGCTAAATGCCTTAGAGAAAGTAGTATAGGGGAGCATTACTACACAAAGGTAGAACTTGTAACATGTTTCATATATCTTCATGTTTTTATATATAATCCTTTTTTTTAATTAGTTATACATGACAGAATGCATTTTGATATATCATATATAGCAGGGTGTAACTTCTCATTCTTCTGGTTATACATGATGTAGAATCCCACTGATCATATAGTTATATATGTACATAGGATAATTATGTCTTGATTCATTCTACTATCATTCATTCCCCCATAACTCCTCCTCTCCCCTCATCCCATTATGAAATCTAAAGTAATTGTATTCTTCCTTACCCCCACTCCATTATGAATCAGCATCTGCATATCAGAGAAAATGTTAGGATTTTGGTTTTGGGGGGTGGTATATCTTCATTCTTGAAAATACAACATTCACAATATTTAACTTACTTATTTATTTTTTGGTACCAGGGACTGAACCGAGGGGTACTTAACTACTAAGCTGCACCCCCAGGTATTATTTTATTTTGAGACAAGGTTTCACTAAGCTACTTATGGCCTCGCTAAATTATGGAGGCTGGCTTTGAACTTGCAATCCTCCTGCCTCAGTCTCCCAAGTCACTGGGATTACAGGTATGCACCACTGCACTCAGATTTTTCACTTATTTTTATGCAGTGTTGTGGATTGAACCCAGGGTCTTGTGCATATGCTAGGCAAGCCTCTACCATGAGCTACACTCCCAGCCCCAAATTTAATCTTTACTGATGAAAATATTGGAGTTCCTCTAAAACACAGAAACTTAAAAAAGAAGATGTTCAGAAATAAATGAGACATGTAAGAGATGCTATAGACCAAAACAATCTGATACTGGAGTGTTAATTTAGGTTAAGCCCCAAACTCCATATTTCTTTTTTTTTTTAAATATATTTTTTAGTTGTAGATGGACACAATCTTTATTTTAATTTATTTATTTTTACGTGGTGCTGAGGATGAAACCCAGGACCTCATGCATGCAAGGCAAGTGCTCTACCTCTGAGCTACAACCCCAGCCCCATATTTCTTTATCTAATTAAAAAACCAAAGCAAGTGCAATGAAAACAGGTGGTCTGAGAAAAAGATAGACTCTCCTCTAGCACTGGGACCAAGGCAGATTTTTCTGCACAAGACAACCATTTAAACCTGTCACTAGATTCAACAATGCTAGGTTCTTAGAATACTTCAAATTCACTCTGAGGTTAGACTAATGTTCTTCTTCCATCCTCATAGTTCCCATTATTTTAAACTCAAGAACTACACTATCTTATAAAAATAAAATGCTATTAAAAATAAAATACTTCCAACATTTGGTTTCGCAACTGAAAACCTTTCCAAACTCAGAAATTTAGTAGGTCTCCTTCTTAGAAAGAGCAACCTCTTCCTGCATTTAAATCACTCCAAATTGAGGTGCTAGTGAAAGAATTTGAAAAATAAAAGATTCTTGAGATTGAATTCTTGAGAATGAAAACTCTCTTTTTATTACTAGCATTCTACAAACATGTCATCTCACTAAAAAGCTTAGATACAAAAGTAACCTCATTATTTTCCACAGGTTCAACTTTCAATAGGCACGAAACTATGCCTGTGTGGGCCTTCACATGCCAAGTGCGATGATAAAAGGCTTAAAGAGTCCGCAGCTGTCAAGTCTGGGCTAACAGTTCTTGCCCTGTGCTAAGGTATACCTACTTTTTAAACCACATGATTTCGTCAGGATCTGCGATGCCAAACTCCCTCAGCTTCTTCACCATGCTAGCACTCTTCTTGACAGCCACCTCGTAACGCTGGCTGCGAGTGAGGAAGTTATAGTCTTCATGCTGGAAGTCTGGGTCGTTCATGATCAGGTTCTCTACAAGGGAGTTAAAGGACATCAAGAGGAAGATAGACATTTCTTCCCCAAGCCCCGCCCCCGGTACAGGGGATTGAACCCAAGGTCGGTCTGACACTGAGCAGCACCACGGCCCTTTTTAAAAGAAAAAATTGAGGCCGGGTCTTGCTAAATTGCTGAGGCTGCCCTCGAACTTGCGATCCTCCTGCCTGAGCCTCCGGGGTAGCTGGGATTACAGGCGTGCGCCACCGCGCCCCCAGCGAAATCCCCCCTCCTTCATGGACTGCAGGTCTGAATCGCGAGCACAGCTCGGGAAGGGCGAGACCCCCAACCCCTGTCACGGGCCGTCCCTCCAAGTGGGAGTCTCGGCTCTCCCGAAGCCCCTCAGCGCCACCGACTCCTCTTCGAGGGGGTCTCAGCCTTGCTTGCGAGAGAACGGAGGCCGGCCCGCCGCCCTCACCGATCTCTCGACGGCGCCGGGTTTTCTCGGGGCTGCCGTCCAGGATGTGTGTGATCAGCTCGGGGTTGAAGGTGGCGGCGGCCCGCTCCCTGCGCAGGTCCGGGTTCATGGTGTCGGCCGGTGTCGGAGACGAGGCAGGAGTGGTGCTGACAGAAGCGACAGTGTCCGCAGCTCTAGCGCCGGCTGGGCTCTAAGAGCAGTCCCAGGACGTCGCGAGTCCCCGCCCCGCTGGCCCCGGCCCGCCCCTTCTTCCTCACGGCCCTCTGCGCGTGACCCCGGGCGCCCGTGCCGGGACCGCCCGCAAAGCGGACGAATCCCCAGCTCCCGACCCCTGGCCTAGAGGACCCAGGTGGAAGGTCAGCAGATTGCCCGGGCGTGAAGGGGGAGCCAGGTGCTTTCGGGATCGCGCCTCTCTCGCGTCTCGTGATCGCGCGGAGCGGAAATAGGGACCGGAGGCCCGGGGACACCGTGAACAGGTTGGCTGGGGATTTGGGACGGGGCGGGACAACACGACAGAGGTCTGCGCCTGCGCTCTGACACCCGTCTGCCCCGCACTTCCGGATCCTTTTGCTAAACCGTCCCCGGAAACAGTGGAAGGATGGGACTCAGGGGCCTATGGGCGGAGAAGGTGTGGGAGGTCTTTGCGTAATTGTAGGGGGAAGACCGAGGTTTTTCCCAGAATCTTCCCAGACTGGAGAAAAAGGAATGGGAACAAAGTTCTATTAAAATAATGGTGTGCTTGGGCCAGCGTGGGCTGTAGAGGTCTGGGTGCATATTTACAGAGGTTCCCTATGAGATAGGCATGCTTCTCTTGAGACCTGCCTTTGAGGATAGATTTTCTGTGTGTGTGCGCGCGTGTGCCGCACTGGAGAGTGAACCCAGGAGCGCTCTTACAGCTGCGCTACATCCCCAGCCTTTATTTATTTTGAGACCGGGTCTTTCGGAGGCTGGTCTTGTACTTGTGACCCTCCTGCCTCAGCCTTCCCAGTTTCTGGGATTACATGTCTGCATCACCCGTCAGGCCAGAGTTTTTGTTGTTGTTTTCCTAAACTGAAGGGCGGTTCTTAGACATCTTGGCATCCAGACTTTTTTGTTTGTGCTATCATCGTCAAAAAGTGGTAACTACACATGTGCCTAAAAATCATAGGATTCAGGCTGGGGATATAGCTCAGATGGTAGAGTGCTTGCCTTGAATGCACAAGGCCCTGGGTTCAATACCCCCGCACCCCCCCCAGGAAAAAAAAATCATAGGATTCATAATAAAAAGCAAGACTTCCCAAACATCCTCAGAAGCAACCACTTTTCACTTTTAGTTAATATTGCTCAAAAGATTACTAAATTAAATACTTAAATTATTTCTGGCCAGGCGCAGCTTGGGAGGCTGAGGCAGGAGGATTGCAAGTTCAAAGTCAACCCCAGCAACTTAGTGAAGCACTAAGCAACTCAGTGAGACCCTGTCTTCAAGTAAAATACAAAATAGGGCTGGGGATGTGGGTCTGTGGTCAAGTGCCTCTGAGTTCAATCCCTGGTACCCCAACCAAAAAAAATTATTTCTGCATTTATTTTTGTTACCTTTTGAGGTCGTGCCATGATAAGATGTAGCACACTACACAAATCCTTTACCTCTCCCTAATTTGGTTTTGTAAATTTCGACATACTTAAGTTTTTGCAGTACAGTACTGGCATTCACCTTGGATACAAATTATAAGGAGGCTCTAGAGCCAATACTAAAGATGAATAATTTTTAAATGCAGTTTGTTTATGTGTTTGCTGGCAATATGGAACCCAGGGCCTCCAGCATACTAAGCAAGTGCTCTACCATATATTCCCAGCCCCACAATCAAAATGAAGAAAACCCCTACCATGAACAAAATATCAAAATGCTGAATGAAGACAAGATAATTGTTGCTGATGGTTTCTTTTTCTCCGGGCCCAGTATACCTGGGCAAGGCACTGTTAACTGAGGTTAACGGGTATAATGCACCCCCTCCTCCACTAAACATTATTTCGCCAAGTTACTGTGGATTTTATTACTCCTGCCAAAAGTTGGTACTCCGTTGCTGGTTATGGTGGCAACTCGGAAGGCTGAAGCAGGAAGATCACAGCTTAGAGGCCAACCTCAGCCATTTTACTGAGCCCCTGAGTAGCTTCCTGAAACCCTATCCCAAAATAAAAAACAAAAAAAGGAGGCTGGAGCTGTAGCTCAGAGGTAGAGTATCCCTGGGATCAATCCCCAGTACAAAAAAAAAAGAAAAGAAAAAGCTGGCACTACAAATATAACTAAAACAAGCTGTTGATAAGATAAAGCTCAGTTTATTGCTTACTGGGTAAAAGGGAATCACTATCTGGCAAGACTTTGGCAGTGTCTCAGAGGGGATTGTAAGGTCAAAATTTATTGAGAATTGAACGATTGGTTTAAGGTGGGTCTTTCAATTTTGGGTCTTGATTATGAGTGGGCAAGAACCATAGTCTAAGCTGGGGAAAGTGGTGCACACCTGTAATCCCAGTGGCTCAGGAGGCTGAGGCAGGAGGATTGCAAGTTCAAAGCCAGCCTTAGCAAAAGTAAGGAACTAAGCAAATTAGTGAGATCCTGCCTCTAAATAAAATACAAAACAAAGCTGGGGATATGGCTCAGTGGTTGAGTACCCTGAGTTCAATCTCTGATACAAAAAAAAAAAAAAAGAACTATAGTCTAAAGTGATTGGAGACAGCAAGTCAAGGAAACTGAATGAATCTCAGTGCACAAAATGGCTGTTGAGCTCCAGCCATTTGCTGGGTAGACAGTTCAGAAAAGTAAAGAAATGCCAAGGAATATAGAGTTCTGGCAGAGCCCTGTAGTATAGCTTTGGTTCTCAGTGTCCAGACTGTGTGTGGGGACAGGTGGTTTTGGTTTTCGCTTTTCTCTTATTTTTTTTAATTTTTAATTTTTTTTTTTTAGAGAGAGAGAGAGAGAGAGAGAATTTTTTAATATTTATTTATTTTTTTTAGTTTTTTCGGCAGACACAACATCGTTGTTTGTATGTGGTGCTGAGGATCAAACCCAGGCTGCACGCATGCCAGGCGAGCGCACTACCGCTTGAGCCACATCCCAGCCCCTCGCTTTTCTCTTGATGAATCTCTTCACCCATACTCTTGAATATTTAATAATGTCCCAGACCCTGTGTGAGGCACAGGGGACACAGCAGGGAATAAGGTTTTTGAATTCTCCTCTGCAGTCTAGTGGGTGACCCAGGCTTTAAACAAATAAAAGACCATGCCATTTGACATCTGATTGTTTAGTAAACAAAATAATGAAAATGAATCAAGGTTATGGATAGAATTGGGTATGGGGAGAATACTAGTTTAGATGGGTGGACCGGGAAGGCCTCACAGAGGAAGAGGCATTTGAACTGAAAGAAAGGAAACCAACCAAGGGAATGTGCAGGTCCAGGTCCTGAGATGTGAGCCGAGGAAGGGGAAGGGCTGAAAGGTGGGGCAGGAGTGGACCCCACCTGCTATTACAGCCAAGGTAAAGGCTCCTACTTCCAGTGGTTGTCATCGGGCACCTTTCATAGATTTTCAACAAGGAGTCATGTGGTCTGATTGACGTTTGAAAACTGGTACAGAGGTAGGGGGAGTCCTATAGAGAACTCCACATGTACTCTGTACCCAGGTTCCACCGCGATCAACTACACCTCCAACCAGTTGCTACCACATTAATTTTAAGCAAGTTCTACATGTTGTCCAGGAATAGATTTAGTATGTTTGTTTTTATTTCAATAGTTATCACATTTGGAAATCTTTTTTTTAAACTTTTTTTTGAGAGAGAGAGAGAGAGAGAGAGAATTTTTTTAATATTTATTTTTTAGTTTTCGGTGGACACAACATCTTTGTTTGTATGTGGTGCTGAGGATCAAACCCGGGCCGCATGCATGCCAGGTGAGCACGCTACCACTTGAGCCACATCCCCAGCCCCTGGAAATCTTAACTCAAGTTCCTTAATGTCACAGACCTGAAATATAATCAACTTTCCTCCATCAAAAGACAGTTGCTTTGTTCAAATCTGAGTCCACACAAGGTCCACAAGTTGCCGTGGGTGGGTATAAATCTTGACAACATATGATTTTCTCCTGTATATTTTTTTCCCTTCAATTTATTTCTATTTAAGAAACTAGATCTTTTTTCCTGTGGAATTTCCCACGACCCGTATTTTTCCCTTCTCTGGGGCATCTTTGACATATTCCTCTGTTTTTTGAGCTTTCTGTACTTTGTTGGTTAACATCTGGAGGCTCTGCTGGACTCAGACTTGAGGTTTTGGCCAAAAATACTCCCTACAGCATTTTTTTCCCATTGAAAACATCGCGTGGTTGCTGTGAAGAGAATGAACTGTAGCAGGACAAAGTAGAAAGAGGCCAGTTAGAGGCCTGGTAAAGGGGTGGACAGGGTGATGACCATGGAGACAGGGAGACCCTCACCCTCTGGCTTGGATAGAGCTGACAGGGTAGGGATTGGATGAGGCCGTGAGAGGAAAGGACGCATCTAGAATGATCCTAGGTTTAAGCCGATGGAGCACTGTGACACTTTCAGGGACTGTGAGGGACAGGTGACAATTTCAGGGACTGTGAGGGACAAATTCTTTCACATTGCAATTTTCCCCAGATGTCTGGTGATCCATGACTGTTCATGTTAAGAAAACGGGTCAGTGTGATCCCAGCGACTTGGGAGGCTAAGGCAGGAGGATCACAGATTTGAGGCCAGAATGGGCAACTCTGCAAGACCCTGCCTCAAAACAAAAAGGTGCAGAGATGTAGTTCAGTGGCAGAGCACCCCTGGGTTCAATCCTGGTATTGCAAAGAAAAAAAATGAAGAAGAAGGAAGAAAAGAAATGGTCAGTGTACAATAAAATAAAACAAAGAAAACAACATCAAAATTAAAACAAAAAGAAAATGAGTGAGTGCAAAGGCCCCCGTCCTACAGTAGAAGGTGCTCAACAAAAGACTTCCAGTCCTAATATTCTAGAAAGCCAGTTGTTCTTGTTAAATAAAAATTACAGGAGGCCACAATTCTGACTCCTGCACTGGGACCCAGCAGGCCAGTCCAAATATTAAGATGGAGTCACCCATGTTACCTGACCACCTGAAATCGGGAGAATGAGGTCAACAGCCAAATTTCCCAAACAGGCCAATAGCATGACACTGAGATTCCCTCTGCCTTAATCCTTAGGTCCCTTAATCACTTAATCCTTACAAAAAATAACCTTGAAGTTGACCTGTCAGCTATTTTGTTCTGTCTCCCTGTCCCTGCCTTAGGAGGACAGTGACTTTGGAATGACCAGTCCTTTCTGCTCTTCGTCTCTTTTCCCAGCCCTTCTCTGCTTCTCTCTCTCTGCAGCCCACCTCTGCTGCCCACCCCTGCTGCCCAGCCCCTTGGAACACTTATTCTGTGCCATGGAATGCAGCGTTGCCTGGTTCTAGAATGGAAAATAAAGCCGGTCGACACCTTCACACTGTAGTAGTTTTGCCCTTCGCCACTCTGGATGTGACCATGACAGTCACTCAGCATTTAGTAGAGTAGCTTCGTTGGAGAGCTGGATCCTGGTGAGCTTTGTCTTTTTATTGCGAAATATTTTTGAACTTATACGAGAATTGGAGAATAAAGTTAATCAACATACCTTTCACCTAGATCTACTAGTTAACTTTTTGCCACAGCTGCTGGGCCAACTCTTGTTGACTTGCTTTTTGTTTCCTGAACCATTTGAGAAAACAAGATGGAAATCCTGATCCTTACTCGTAAGAACCCATGTTTATTTCCTAAGAGCAAGGTCACCCACAGAACAGTTGCCAAGATAATTTAACATCAATACAATACTGTTGGGCTGGGGATATGGTTCAAGTGGTGGCGCGATCGCCTGGCATGCATGCGGCCCGGGTTCGATCCTCAGCACCACATACAAACAAAGATGTTGTGTCCACCGATAACTAAAAAATAAATATTAAAATTCTCTCACTCTCTCTTTAAAAAAATAATACAATACCGTTATCTAATCTGCAATCTTAGAAATGGTTTTATAATTGTCCAGTAATGACCTTTACCACGATTTTTTTTCTCCAGCCTAAGGTCCAATGCAGCATCATAAATGATATTCAGTGGTCTTCATTTCCTACGGATGTTGTAACAAAGTGCTACAGACTGGGGGGCTTAAACAGCAGAAGTCACTGTCTCAGTTCTAGAGGCCAGGAGTCTGGAATCAAGCTGTCCAGAGTGGGTTCCCCTGAGACTGTGAGGGAGAATCTGTTCCAGGCCTCACCTTTAAAAGGCTTCCAATGATGTGATTTTGTGTGTGTGTGTATGTGTGTGGGGCTAGGATTTGAACCCGGGGCCTCAGGCAGGCCAGGCAAGCACTTTACAACTGCGCTACATCCTCAGCCCCAGTGTCTGGTGATTTGTGGGCAATCCTTGGCATCCCTTGGCCTGTAATCGCATCACCCTCTCTGCTTTGATTTTCAGTTGACTTTCTCCTTAAATTGTGTCTGTTTCTATATCCAGATTGTCCCTTTTTTATGACACCACTCATGTTGGGTTAGGACCATCCTGAGGACCTCTGCAAAGACCTGTCGCACATGCAGGGCACATTCGGAGAGTTCTCCACTGGGTCTTTTTGGGAGGACACAGTGCAGTCCACAATGGTTGTCATGTTGTTGTCATCTCTTAGCTGAGCGCTCTGTCTGCTGTGACTGTTGCGCTTCAGAATTACAATAAGCTTGTTTCCCACAGTGTCCTCAATTCAGTCGTGGCTGTTATTCCTTACAGTCAGGTGACACATAGGCAGGAATACAACAGAAGTGACATGCCTTCTCAGTATTTATCAGGAGGTCCACAACAACTGTATTTGCTAAGGTTCTCCACTGTGAAGTGCATCCCTTTTCCCTTTGTAATTAATAAGGAGTCTGCAGGGAGACACATCGAGTCTATTTCTTATCAGACTTTTGTAGTATTTTTTAGCATCCATTGACAATTTGTCCCCAAATCTGTCTTTATTGTAGTGATTACAAATTTTTTTAATATTTATTTTTTAGTTATAAATGGACACAGTGTCTTTATTTTATTTTTATGTGGTGCTGAGGATCAAACGCAGAATCTCATGCATTCTAGGC